CCTTCTCATCACCCAAATCAGTACTTATCTCTATCTATCTAACAGCATTCCCTCTCCTCCCCTCCCAACCCTGGTAACCAACAAAGAAAATTTCCTTCCGTAGATAAACCTTTCCTTGACTTTTACAACAACGGACTAATACAACATTTGTCCTTTTGTGATTGACTTATTTTACTCAACATAATATCCTCCAAGTTCATTCATGTTATGCGGTGTTTTGCAGATTCTACATTATTCTTTAGTGTTGCATAGTATTCCATTGTGTGTATGTACCTTAGTTTGGTTATCCATTCCTCAGTTGATGGACACCTAGCTTGTTTCCATCTTTTGGTTATTGTAAATAGTGCTTCAATGAACATGGGTGTGCATATATCTGTTCTTGTCATGGCTCTTACTTCTTTAGGGTATATACCTAGTAATGGAATAGCTGGGTCAAATGGTATTTCTAATTCCAACTTTTGAAGGAATCGCCATACTGCCTTCCACAGATGGTTGTACCATTTTACAGTCCCACCAGCAGTGTATGAGAGTCCCAATCTCTCCACAACCTACCAGCATTTGTTATTTTCTGTCGTGTTGAACTTTTTTACTAGTGCTGGAACAAGATGGTATGTTGTTGTTTTGATTTGCATCTCTCTAATAGCTAATGATCGTGAGTATTTCTTCATATATTTGTTGTAGGCCCAGAGAATTTTTATTTATTCTTTTTATTCTCTCTTTTATCCTGTGCTTTCTTCCTATTTGATAGTGGTTACTTTAAAGTAGATATTTAAATTCTTGGAAATGTTTTTAGGTATGATTTTCATCTACTTTGCTTTTACCTTTTTCTGGATAAAATTTTATTTTTGGGGGGGATTTATTTTTTCTGTTACTCTTCTCTCTCTTCTCTGTTTTTCCTTTTCTACTTTTATATGATCTTTTGGCTGGTTTCTTTGTCTTCTTTGCTCATCTTTGAGGTGAATTTTTCTTGCACTAGTTTTGTGTATACGTATCATATACATAGTTTCAGTGGAACTCTGTTTCTGCCATGGAGTCTCCTGCCTTGCACCTCAGCTAGCAATAAGCTGCTGCTCCCCAGTGTCAAATGGGGCCAGGAAGGCCTCTGCAGCCATCCTGGCAAGTTTACTTGCTTTGCTCTTCTTTTGAGAACTCTGTAATCTGCCTGAGATCTAAAGTCATGGATATTCTCTTTTGGTGTCCTCATTCAACTTTGTTGAATTTTCCTGTCTTTGACAACTTGCTTCGGGTATGTTGAGTTTTAGGTTTTAAATGTTTTGTTATGTTATTGAAGATAGAATTCCCTTTTTAGTAATTTGTTCTCTTTCTTGTTTTGCAGTAGTTTATAAGAATGCAAGGATTCAAAGATGTATTTACTTTGTCATCTCAAAACTTTAAGAACCACAGCAAGATTTCTTTAATTAAGCATTCTGGGCCTACTGTGTAAAATGAGAGTGTTGTATAGTAGGCTAGCTAACATGCTTTTTGGTTAAGCTTTTTATGTTTCTGATTTAATTTCACGGAGTATAGTGAATATTTTCTTACAGACAGAACCTCCATTGAATACACCAGAAAATAGAGAGTATCTTGCAGAAATCATGTTTGAATCATTTAATGTACCAGGACTCTACATTGCAGTTCAGGTAAAAACAAAGTTATTTCTTATGTTGCCCAAATAATCTTAGCTATCTAGTAGTGGAAGAAATGGTAATTCCAAAGTTTTTCTCTTTTAAGATTGTGCAATGTGTTCTTCCTCAAAGTTCCCTTTTCCAGTCTCTGAACATACATGTATGCGTGCACACACACACACCCCCAACATCATTCCAACACATACCTCACACATCATACTATACACAACCCCAACCGCAACTCCCACATTATGCTATGTACACAAACTCCATATCACACCATGCACATGCACACACACATGCATAAACATACATGTATCACACAGTACTCCATATCCCCCATGCCTCCCCCGTTATCTATCCCATACACCACATACACACACACACACACACACACCTACCCACCTCATGTACCATATATTCACCTCACATCATACTACCCCACTTACCCACACACCCCACCCCATACATATATACATATACACAAAACCCTACATCAGGCCTGCATCACAGCCCCACAGCCCCACAAACTTCCTCTCTCTCTCTCAGCATTTAGGTTTTAACTAAAACACTGTAAAGCTCACATTCCATGATTTATATTTTTATATTTATAGTATTGTTATAGAATGTATTTGACTCTGTCTTTTTACATACATTAAATTATAAAACGTTTTTCTCTAGGTGAAAAGATAGTGGTGTAGATGTGGTCTCTTTTTGGCTCCTTTTAGTTATTTCTGATGAGAAAAAAAAAAGATACTATTGAATCTGTTGAAGAACAAAATAAATACCTTTAGAGGGTTTTCTGCCTTGTTGATTTTGGGCTCCTGTAAGTTCCTTTGTACTTTCTTGCTTCTGAGAGCCCCTGTGGTCCCATGAACCTGAAGAACTTTCTAATTGTGGGATTTTTGCTTGGTTTTGGTTATGGTTATTTGTCTGCCACCTCACATTAGGGAATTGTTGTAAATTTATGGGAATAAATGAAACAAGTGTTTCCCAAAATGTTTTTTGCATAATGCTAATCCCTTCTGAGACAAAAGAGGAAGAGTTCCGTAGAAAAATTAATTTGTGAGATGCTACATGTATGATAGCCTCCTCTTGCTGCAGACCAGCATAGTAAAGCCTCTAACAACTCCTACAGAGAAATCTGTTTATTCTAGCACTTTCAGATTTATTTAAACATAAATCTTCCCCCTACACCAAAATTATATACAATCCATGGAATTGGGAGATACTTTAGGAGACTGGGCTATTGGTTTTCAAAGTGGTCTGTTGCATCAAGTTCACCCAGAGAATGCTTTTTAAAAATAGGAATTCTCAGGCTTCATCCTAGATTAGGGATTTCACCCGCAGTGCCTTGGGCTAGTTAATTCTTTGCTGTAGGAGGCTGTCCTGTGCATTGTAGGATGCTTAGCACTTCCTCCAAGTATTTAGTCGAAAAAGTCTCTGCCAAATGTCCCAAGGGCAACATTGCCCCTAGTTGAGGGCGCTGTCACAGACCTGCCAGATTAGAATTTCTAGGTGTGAGGCCTAGTAATCTGGATATTTAGAAATTCTACAAATGATTTATTTTACTGCAGCTATCCTATGGATCCACATTGGGAAGCAGTAGGTTAGATTTTACTAAAGTCTGATTCTGTAGTAAAATGAGAAGAAGTCATCTCTCATTGGTTTTGATTTTTAAACCTTTAGATTTCTTTATTGAAAGTTTGTCTTCCAGAGTTTAAGTGTATTCAATTTGTGGGTTAGTTGTCCACGATAGAATTGAAATTTTGGGGGAAGATATAAGAGAGGGAAGGGAAATAGGTTCAGACTTGTTATTAGACAAGAAAGAGTTTATGGTGTTTTTTTTTTTTTTTTTTATGATTTTACCTGAGAACAAGTAGGAAATATCCTCTTTAAACATTTCCCTGTATACTAACGCCATCAGTGTCTGTGCTGCAGGCGGTGCTGGCCTTGGCGGCATCGTGGACATCCCGACAGGTTGGGGAGCGCACACTAACAGGGGCAGTCATTGACAGTGGTGATGGAGTCACCCATGTCATCCCAGTGGTAAGTATAATACTCAGTACTTAATATCTGGTTTGAGGCAAGGGAAAAAGTCTTGAAAAACACCTTTATGTAATTAAAATACTACTGTTTAAGTAATAAACCAGAAACCAATCCTGCTGCTGTCAAATTGATTCTGACTGATAACAGCCATCATAGGACATAGGAGAAGTGCCCCATAGTGTTTCTAAGGCTGTGATCTTTATGGAAACTAACTGCCATTATCTTCCTCCTGCAGAGTGGCTGGTGGGTTCAAACTACCTACCTTTTGATTAGCAGATGAGCACTTTAACCACTATGCTGATTAAGTGATAGCCATACTTAAAAAAAGTAGCAAGATTATTTTTAAGTCTGGGTATGTGATAGAGAGAGAATGAGATGGCCAGCATCCATGGCTTTGCCAGCTTTAATCTCATGGTGGCAGGTTCCCCCAGTCAGAATGTCGGCAGTTGTTTGGAATCTCTGGGCCTTGATTGATTTCCCTGGGTGTGATACTATCAAGAACATTTTCCTTGCCTGTAATTGAGCTGTTGGGACATAGACATTTTGGATATCACATTTGCAGGTATGGTATATGACCACTTGAGGAATTAGTTCTGTATTCTGTGAAAAGATGTGAATGACTTTAATCAGCTCATGCTTTAGAGAAATTGTTGCTTGTTTTTTCAGTTTATTTAAGAGCCAGGAAGGAGAGAGTATACGTTTTGATTTGTAGAAGGCTCTGCTAGAACAGTTTTTGGTTTTAATCTTGAAAATATTAGAGATGTAATTCCTACTTCAGGTTTAGAGAACCCTCTACATTTTTCTTTTTGTCCAGTGCATTATTTAAAATTTATGTTTTGGAAAATTAATTGAAACTCACTAGGGAATATACAGTAGAAATTCAGATTTACTTTTCATTCCTGATCCTCATCCCTCCACACTCCCCTTCTCAGGGATAACCACAACTACTGGCTATTTTATGTATATTATAAATATATTTTTTGAATATACAAGTATCTATGTTTATATCTCCTTTTAAAATGCAAATTAGAGTTTTTGAAATTATTCATTTACTTTAATCAGAAAAATAGTCACCATTTCATTTTAAGAACTTGGAGGAAGGATGTACTAATACACTAATGTTTTAATTCCTTAAAGGTCAGAAATCATGGCAGTGGACATATATACCTACACTCAGGAAGAAAAACAATCAGATTCTTGTCCAGCCCAGCCTTGTATATCCTAACAGCATGTCTTTTGCCCTGGGACAAGGAGGAACAGGGGAGGAATGAATGCCTCCCAAAAAGTGTTTTCTATGCTTTAAGCACCCTTCAAACCAGTCTGAGAACACTTATTCCTCTTTAGGATCCTTTAGAAGTGTTAATTCCAGTTGATGTATAATACTTACTGAAAAATTCAGGCTCTGAATTTCTGAGGCATCCTCAGGAAGCAAAACAAAACTGACTGAGACCAGAGATGAGCTGCTGTGGGCACCCACACTGCTTCACCTTTGTTTCTTTGCCTGTCCCATGTGTCTGTTTTAGGGGAAAGAAAGAAAACACATTTCACTTGAGGGACATGCCCAGAGAGAAGATTTGTTTGTTTTTAAACTCTGTTTTAGCTCGTTTCCCCACTGACTTTATAAATTAAATTTGTTGTTTAAAAAAAAAATTGAGTAAAATAGACAAGTGTGAAGAAGAAAATAAAATTACCCATAAAACAACCCAGAGAACCACATTATAATTTTAGTTGTATAACCATCCAAACCTTTTCTTTTACACACGTGCACACACGTTTTAAAAAAAATTGACGTATACTGTATATATCTAGTTTTGGGAGCTCTGGTGGCGTAGTGCCTAAGGCATTTGACTGCTAACCAGAAGGCTGCTGGTTCAAACCCACCAGCCACACGTTGGAAGGAAGACTGGACAATCTACTTCCATAGAGATACTGCCTTGGAAACCCAAGGAGTGTTTGCTATGAGTCAGATTCGATCGAACGGCAGTGAGTTTGTTTTTTGTTTTTGTTTTATATCTAGTTTTATATGCCTATTATATTCTATGGGCGTGCTGGTGGCATAGTGCCTAAGGCATTTGACTGCTAACCAGAAGGTTGGTGGTTCAAACCCACCAGTCACTTCTCGGAAGGAAGACTGGGCAAGCTACTTCCATAGAGATACTGCCTTGGAAACCCAAGGAGGGTTCGCTGTGAGTCAGATCCGACTCAACGGCAGTGAGTTTGTTTTTTGTTTTAATATATAGTTTTATATGCTTATTATATTCTGTGGGAGTGCTGGTGGCATAGTGCCTATGGCATTTGACTGCTAACCAGATGGCTGGTGGTTCTAATCCACCAGCCAGTCTTCAGAAGGAAGATTGGGCACTCTAGTTCCATAGTGACACCACCTCAGAAACCCAAAGAGGGACACTATGAGTCCAATTGACTCGACGGCAGTGAGTTTTTTGGTTTTTATTATATCCCATAGCCCTGTTGTTGTTGTTGTGTGCCTTTGAGTCGGATCTGATTCATAGAGACCCCTCCTTGGGTTTGCGAGGTGGTATCAGTCTGGAAGTAGATTGCCCAACCTTCCTTCCGAGGAGTGGCTGGTGGATTTGAACCACCAGCCTTCTGGTTAGCAGTCAAGTGCCTTAGGCACCATGCTACCAGAGCTCCCTCCTACAGTCCTAGAGTTAAATTTTGCATAAAATGTAGCCCTAATTTTTTCTTGTATAGTTAGATATTGTTTCAAAGAATAGTAACTACGTAATAACCTGTAATATGGGTATATCATAATTTATTCATTTTCCTATGATTGGACAGTTAGATTGTTTTGACATTTTTAATGTTGTGATGAGGCTGATGCTTATTTAACACTAATTGAATTAATTTCAGAAAATATGGTGCATAGAATATAATAATTGTGAGTAATTGATGTACCTTTATGGATTTAAGTTGATTTAAGGTGATTGTAATAGTTCATGCATATCTTTTATCTTTATCTTAAAGTATTTTACTAAGAATTTAGACTCTGCAGAAAAGCTAAATCTTCTTTTACTTCTAGAAATTAGGTACATTAGAAAAAAATATGAAAGGTATTCATTAAGTTATCCTCAACTCAGCAGGTAGTATATGTGTTGCATGTAATTATTAGAATTAATACATTTGAAAAACTGAACTTAGCGTTTCACTTCTATTTGTGTCTGCTTCATTTGGATATTGTGGCACAGCAGCTCATTCTATAATATGAAACCTGAGTGTGCAACTCATCTCTTACTATCTGATAAAGTTGTGGTAGCTAGGCAGCTCTCCAACTCTGACTATATGTGCCCCACCCTGCAGAGTGGAGCAAGCTGGGTGTGCGCGAGGACTGTAGCTTCTGTGTCCAGTGTGTACCCACATGAAAGCTGATGATGGAGCCTTAGGCATAGTGCTGTGTCCATAGGTTCTCACCCATTGCTGCTGTGGTTGTGTGAGCTCTTGGTGCATTCCAGACTTGGCCCTGGTTAGTGCTAGTGGTCAGCTGTAGATGGCTGGGTGAGGTGTCTACCCCAGCTCCTTTCCTGGCACGCACATACATAGTCTCTACTGGCTCAGGGAGGTAGATGAAGTAAGAAGATCCACTCTCATGAGAGATTTGCACTCTCGATACTGACCAGTACCCTTCAAATAGCAGAATGGTTAACTAACTTACTAGAATTAATCCTTACAAATACGAATCTTACTACAATGAATTATGTCACTTATTGAGTATTAATACGTGTTAGAAAAAACTATGCTAAGTGCTTGACACACAATATTTCATTTAATCTATATGATAAGCCCTCATAACTTGAATGAAGGTATTGAAGCCTGAATCATGTTAACACACATGTCCATGGTCACTTAGTTAGCATGCATAGAGCCAAGGTTTGAATCAAGCTCTCTAGAATCTGTGATATGTGTGTTTAACCAAATTGATCACTTAAAAATAAAAGTAGATTTGTAGTTGGTTTAGCAGTTTGGAGGTATTTTCCTTATTTTAGTGGGTTGGGGTGGGGTGAGAGTGGAAGTAAACTTATTAGACTCACTATTCTAGCAGACACCTTAACTTTTTGGACAGGGGCTAGCCTATGTAGGTTTTTTTTTTTTTTTCCATATTTCTAATGAAAATATTATTTTGGTAGCTTATATAGTCTCAGATTCTGTATTTTAAAAATAAGTGGAATTGCTTATGTAATCGTTTTAAAAGACTTGCAGTGCTGAGTCTGCATGGAGGGTATGCAGTGCATGCTTGTTAATGTAGCATACTGGGGCAGGGTAGGAGGGTGGGGCAGGAAGCCTTGTGAGTTGATATTGCTTTGAACTGCTGGAATTACTCATGTGGATTGTTTTGACTCCTCTTCTCCCCTAGGCAGAAGGTTATGTAATTGGAAGCTGCATCAAACACATCCCAATTGCAGGTAGAGATATTACATATTTCATTCAACAGCTGCTAAGGGAGAGGGAGGTGGGAATCCCTCCTGAGCAATCACTGGAGACTGCAAAAGCCATTAAGGTAAAAACAGATGTAAATTGGTTGATTTGGGGGTGAGCTATAAGTGATATTTTGGACATTTCCCTTGTCTGCCATTATCCCTGTTCCCACCTTCTTTCCCATGAATGTATATCTTGATGTGCCACTTAAGTAGGTTGAAAGACTTAAAGCATAATCTGTTCTTTTAAACATAAACACTCTGTTGAGGTTTCAAAGTTAGTATTTAACTGTCAATGAGAGCAGCTTGATAATCGGTATTGAGTACAAGTGTACATAGTACAACATCATTTAATTGGAGCCTAATTAGATACAACCTTCAATTAACTGAAAGTTTCTTCCATATTTCCTTCCATGCTTAGAACAAGGAGGCAGGCAGTAGCAGCAATGACTGTCAGAAATCTCATGAAATCAGCCAGAATTCAAGTTAGTTTCCTGTGCTATTGTGTGGTTTCATGTGCTGAGAATTACAGCTCAGAATAATGCCATTCCAGGATCCAGAATCATTAAACAAAATTCACCTGTATTTTGTGAGCTCTAGTTAGTTACTATACTGGAGAACTTATAGGAAGTTTTAGAATTGAAATGACTGATTGGTTTTTGTTTAAAATAATCCATTTGACCTGATCCAGCAGTTTAGTTTTTGTTTTACACTGTACATGGTAGTTCACAGACCCTTTTAAAGGAATTTTTCTTTTCATGTTGCAAAATCAGGACAAGTTTATTTATTTATTTATGCTAAAATATAGTAAATCTTTAGTAATCTAAGAATGATAATTATGTAGATGAAGAGGGAAGGATTTTGTTTCTGAAGAAGAATTTAAGTGTAGGAGTGTGACATTTAAAATTGGGCTCTCCTTTCTCGCAGAACACATAGTTTTTGAGCTGTCCAGGAGTATAAGAGATGCTTATCCAACTCCCTCTGTTTTCCTCACTACTTCTTCCCATCTAAACACCTAATAACTGAGGCTAGTCAAATGATGATTGATGAAAGTGGTTAACCCTGAGATGTGTATAGTCAAAAGTCTAACACTGTCTTGTCCTGGGGTATTTAGATGGCCAAAGTTGAACTCATGAATCCCAAAGGAATTACTAAAAGTATGTGAGTATTTGTATTGGAGGCAGATATTGCTGCTTGCTTTTTCTATGCAGCCACCTTGCTCCATTTCAGCAAAGTAGACAATGAATGAAAAATATAGAATCTGTATTCATTTATTTTATTCAGTGAATATTAAGTGCCTACTGTGTATCAGGTTCAAAGTAATAGCTAAGACTGATAAAGTTACACCACTGAGGATTTTACATGCTAGTTAGAGAGCAGATGATGAAACAGTAAAGATAAGTGGGTGATGGAACAAGGAGAGAGGAGGGAGTGATGGTGAAGGGAGGCCTCTCAGCAGACCTCAAGGATGAGACAAAGCTAGTCAAGAGTGTTCTAGGCAGAGGGAACAGCAAGTGCAAGGACCCAGACAGGAGCTGGGAGTGAAGCTTATGTATTAAAGGAACAATACGTGGCTAGTGGGCTAGAGTCCAAGCTGAAAGGGAGAAAACACTGATGAGGCTGGAGAGAGATCAGTGGGCTTGTGTGGGCAATAATGAGGAGTTTGGATTTCCTTCTAAGTGCAGTGGGACACGACTGAAGAATTTGAGGCAGGGAAATGACACCATCTGATAAGATTTAAAAAGTGTAGTGGAAAACAGATAGAGGGAGAGAGATAGAGTACCAGGCATAGAAGTGGTGAGCCACATAGGAAGTGATGGTGGCTTGGACAGGTGTGATTGTGGAGAGAAATAGGTGTGTTTAAGAAATGCTTTGTAAGACTAACTCATGGACAGGACTTGGTGATGGAATGGAAGTTGCAGGTAAAAGAAAGCATCAAAGATGATTCCCACATTTGCATGACACTCTTGGTGAAAACAGGGACTTTTTAGGACAGGATGCACTGGTACGGATAGGGTCACCTGCAGGTAGGGTGGCCATCTATCTCAGTTTACCTGACACTAGGAATTCCAGGTATATGTGACTTACATTGCTAAAACCAGGAAAGTCTCAGGCAAATCAGAACCAGGTGGCCACTGTGAGAGGCAATTTCCAAAAGTATCATACAATTTTTCTTTGTAGGCTAAAATATTACTCAAGGCTTTCTCTCCTCCTTGCCTTGCCTTCTTTTCAGTGAGAGAGAAATTTTGATACTTGACCCAAGGCTCCTTTGTCACCCCAAACTCCAAGTGTAAATCAGAATTCTTTTCTTATTGTCTCTAAGGGGCAAATCTGGTGAATTGTTCTTTTTCAGTAAAGATCCTTGAATGTCATTACTAATAATGTTAATTTCTTGATCCTCGTGTTGGGTATTTACATTATTCACTGGTATTTGGGTTCTAGTCCTGTCCTTTGTATATTAGCTGGATGTTCAGGTTATGATACCATCTTTCTCTAACTGTAAAGATTGAGAGTGAAATAGACTCCTTTTATACTCTCCAAATCAGCTACACTGAGTCTCTTGTTGCATGAGTTAGCCCTGCTATTTATTTATTACCTCCTTTCTGTCTATAAAAGAGGAGCTTCTGGACAGTGTGGTTTAGCATTACTCCTGCATCATGTTACTGAAGAGATTGTCTCCTGGTCACGAAAAGGTGTTAGGTTGCATATATCTAGATACAGTAGCATAAATTTAGAACTTTACAATTAACGCTGCTAAATTCCATCCAGCTTTCATTAAGGTGTTTCATGGCATCAGTTAAGTGAGTTTAGATACCATAAGAAACTGACCAGACCTCTGAGGACAGCTTTCTGTTTCTGTCTCCAATTCTGATAGATTTAAAGTATTGTTGAGTCACCCCATTCTCACTTATTATCAGAGAACACAGGGTTGTATAACAGTTCTAGTCTATCAATTTTATAATTCTTTTAGAGTATGTCAATGATATCTGGAAGATAGTCTCAGAATATGCTATAGGGGTTTAAGGAACTTTAAACTTAATACAAAAACGCCTTCCAAGTTCTTTGAAGGAGCCATTCTGAATGTGTATCAAGCACCAATTTTGTGTCAGACACTGAGCTGGGCTCTGAACAAACAAAGCTCTTGCTTTCAGGAAGCTTATGCTGAGAGATTGGTGAGCCAACTGACATAGGCTGTTTCACGGAAGTGAGTTCCCAGGACAGATGATAAATGCAAGGAGCACCAAGAACCTCAAGTATCATCACATAATCAGGAAACACTTTACACTCGCGAGGCTGGCTGTTGGTGCCAGCAAGTTCTCTTATAAGAGCAGTAGAGTGGAACTCCAGTCCTCCTTCCTCGCTTCCTTTCTTTTTTTTTTTTTCATGGTACTTACCACCCTATTGGGAGCTCTGGTACTTGACTGCTAAACAGAAGGTTGGTGGTTCAAACCCACCAGCCACTCCTCGGAAGGAGGATGGGGCAATCTACTTCCATAGCGATACTGCCTCAGAAACCCAAGGAGGGATCGGACTCCATGGCAGTACATTGCGTTTGGGTTACCACCTTATAACATGGAGTATAAGCTCTATAGGGCAGCCCCAGAGCAGGACTCTGGGTCTGTTTGGTTCACTTATCTATCAAGTGCTGAGATACTCAGTAAGCATTTGTTGATTGGATAACTTAGTATACTTAATCAACAAAGTTTATAGTGTCTAAGTAGACCAATGGAGCAGAATGGTAGTGCTGTTTCAGATCCTACCCTAGGTGAGATAGGCAGATTGATAACATCTTAGGCTTTGAGATGCAGACACAGAGAAGCCAGTACAATGTGGTCTACCACATGTACCACATATTCCACTAGTCCAGAAAGGGATGACAATAGAGGGTCTGGGGAACTTAAGAGGAATTAAAAAAACTAGATGGAGACAAAATATAGACACTTTAAAACATTGTTTCAGATAACTTGGCAACAAAATTAGATAGACTAAGGCTTAGATAGTCAAGTTACAGAGAATGCTGACTTATATGTCCAAAATCAAAGAACAGTCATGCCTGGTATTAAAGACTGATAAATTGTGAGGCTTGATAGCCCCATCCACACACAGGAGTTACGGTGTGGGGCAGGGCATAGTTTCAAGGGTCTGTCTGAAGCATGTACTGTGTATCTGTCAGAGGTGGATAGTTGCTAATGCCTGGTGACATCTTTGTGTTTGTATATGCAGGAGAAATACTGTTATATTTGCCCTGATATAGTGAAGGAATTTGCCAAGTATGATGTGGATCCCCGGAAATGGATCAAACAGTACACAGGTATCAATACAATTAACCAGAAGAAGTTCATTATAGATGTTGGTTATGAAAGGTTCCTTGGACCTGAAATTTTCTTTCATCCTGAGGTAAGATTTTTTTTGTTTTTTTGTTTTTGTTTGAATGTGTTTTAAGTATGGTGTAATGGAGCAATACTGCCACCTAGTGTGAATAAAGAACAATTTTCAATAAAGTAAAATCAGAAAGTTGGCTCTCATCTTTGAGTAAGGCTGCTTGTTCGCACATTTAAATCTCTGTAAACTTTTATAGAAACCCCCTTCCCCTATCCCACATGTGGTTTGATTGTTTGATTTGATTTGTCTCTCCATAAACTTGCATTATTTGCTTAATTGGTATGGATTGATTATATTGATTATACCAGGAGTGTTTAGGAAGACGTTTTCAGAGCAATAGAAGATAATGGAATTGAACTTTATTTCAACAGGGAAGCACATGCTAATATAACATATCTCAAGGACCAATGGAAGAAAGTTGCTTTGTGTAAAAGTGGAATGGTTTATAACTTTTCTATCTTTTGTGATTAACCATTTTAATCCTCAGTTTTAACACAAGACAGCTGTCCTGCTTGTGTTCTCTGCTGCAAGTCCAGATCTCATGATTTAGAGTGTCTTAGGAATGACAGACTTCATGATTTTAACTATTAAGTTACAAAGAATTATTACCTTTGCAGAAAGCAGTAATTAAGAGGCAATATTTTTAAAGTGTAAATGAAATGCATTTTATTTGAATTTTGGGATATTTTCCTGCCTAATCTATTTGTATCTAGTAGTAGGTTACAAACTGGTGCTTATTTTTAGACGTGTATATGACTATTTTAAATAGGGAAATGGCTCAAACTGTACGGCCTACTAGTACTCTGGTAATGTCCTACTCACTCATTTATTCATGCTTTTCATGTTATTGATTTAAAGTTGACATAAAACTGACAAATATCCAGTGAACAGCTGGTGAACACTGGGTGTTAAATTCTTCTTCCCCTGAGACTGCTGCACAATAAAGCTTTCCTTGATTTTTAAAATATATCTCAAATGTCATGTAATTGAATGATTTATACTTGAGCATATTTAACTTACAGAATTGAATCTCACATGTCCAAGTGGCAAGATTGTTATCATACTGATTGCTTCATTTTAAAGCCACCATCAAACAAAACACTCTTCCTTCCCTATCTTTTAGCCCAGGTTAATGTAAACATTTTATTGAAAAAAATTTAAAATTATTTTATCCTGGCTAATTTTTATTTCATAATATTAGTGCTTCATTAGCGTTACTTGTGTGTTTCCCATTACATCTCACATACATCATGCATATGCTTTTTCTAAGCTCTCAGTGGAGTGATTAACTTTGTATTCATAACTCAGGGCTGACATGTCTCTGTTAATATTTGATATTTTTCCTTCACTAAACCCACACATTTCATGTCTTGAGGGGACATTATACTTTATTCTATGCATATGTAGTCAGATAGGATTAATTCCATTCAATCTGAAGTGCTTTTTGTTTATTTTAAGTTATAGTAAATTCTGTGCTTGTTAAAGTTACTTTTTAAAAATAACTTGTGTTTTGTCCTATTTGAAAGAAATGTGTAATGTTTCTTTTATATTTATATAAAATTTAGTTTGCCAACCCAGACTTTATGGAGTCCATTTCTGATGTGGTTGATGAAGTAATACAGAACTGCCCCATTGATGTACGTCGTCCACTGTATAAGGTATAAGCTGCTTGGGTAAGGTACTTTGACTTCATTTCAAAATTAAAGGCCCATGATTCTTAGAATAAGCTATTCTGCAATCTGCAATCTGCAAACGTTGCTATTTCCCCTTCTGTTTTATGAGCATTGTTAAAAGCCAGTACAATTAAAAAAACTGTTTTTGGAGAGTGGATGGCTTAAATTTTGGAAATATTATTCCATTAACAAGAAGTATTTAATTTAAACATTGTAATATCTTTTATTCTTTATCTGGCAAGTTGTATCTTAAACTGAACAGTGTTAGCCATGCATGGTGATGGCGTGAAAAAGGAATATTTTCCCTCATTCTTCCCATGAATTTCCTTGGTCTTATTTTGGTGCATATTTAGAGGCTCAGTGCCAAATGTGGTGTTGCCAAATAGAAGTTAGAGCTTGAAATGGAACAATCAACTAGAAAATAATCATGTAATGTATTTTTTAAAAAAATTCTTTGTGTGGAATTGTGAAACTTTAAATTAGAAAAATCTAGTATAGTTATTAAATAAAATTCAGTATTGCTGATCACCAAATACTGAGAGCAGAAAGTGATGGTCACTTAGTTCACTTTCTTGTATGAGTCATATTATCAGCTCTCATGACTTCATCTTTCCTTATTCAAATAAAGATAGCTGAATTTAGAGAGGAGAGAATCAGGCTCAATACGAGGATACAATAAAGTTTGTTACATCTTTACAAGGGACTACTGGGTAGCTTTTAAGAAGAATGAGGGAAATCAGTGCAAGTTTAAATAAAAAGATGGCACGGTATAGCATATATAGTTCAGTGAAAAATTTATATAACATTATTTTTAAATAAAAATATGGCTTGCATATATGTATAGAAAAACAGGTTTTGAATGATGTATACTAAACTCTTAAAAGTAAATGAAGTTTCTTTGGGGCAGGATGATAGATGACTTATTTTCTAATTTTTATTTTAAAAGTAAAAATTTATAGTTAACAAATATTCTTATTAGCAAAATATTTCTATACAGACAACTTTTTATGAGTTAAAACAAGTTATACTTTTTATTTGTTGTATTTCCTTAATAAAACACCTTCTTACCTGTGATAGTTATGTTTGTATGTCAACTTGGCTAGACCTGGTTGAGTGGCTGGGCAGCTGGATGTAGTATTCCCCATGATGAGACTGGTAATCAACTCCATGGTGGAATCTACTGAGAGCAGCTGAGTAGCTGCCTTTGGAGATGTGGTCTGCTTCCTGTATATAAGCAGAAGCTTTGAGACTGGTCTCTAGCCTTTGGTATGCTCGGACCCTGCATGTAGCCGTGTTGTTGCTCAGCAGCCTGCTATGCTCTGCCGACCCTGGGACTTACAATGGACTTAAGTTAATGGCCTGCCATGTGGATTGGTAACATCAGGACTCTTCCTTTTTTCTTGTCAACCTTGGGGCTTCTCAGCCTCAACAGCCAACAGCTGTCTAAATGAAGAAATGCCTCTAGCTCCAGTGGGTCGGGAGCAGGAGGCAGAGCTGGACCCCAAGGTGGAGGGGCTTTCACCTAACCCCTAGAGCCTGGCACTTTGAACTTGGACTTAAAGCCACCAAATTGTAAGAATAAACTCCTGTTTGTTAAGGCCATCTCATTTGTGGTATATTTCTTGTCAGAGTGGCACTAGGTAACCAGAACATCACCCAATAAAAAATACTAAGGAATACTAAAAAGAGACTAGAGTATGGAAGACAAAATAGACTGGCTTGTCTTCCCTGTTTCTAAGATCTCACTTAATATTAACTATGTCTTCTTGGTAATGAAAGTAATGAACAAGTCTATACTTTTTTGTTTTGATTTCATCATATAGGAAGTAAAAGTTCTGTCAATAATTATAGATGACCCATAATGAGGTGAGATTTTTCTCAGTTTAGCAATTTAAGTTTAAAAGTTCACTTATGTCAGTTGAGTTAATAGAATTCTTGAAGTGGCGGTGGTCTTGGATATCATGTATATTGAGCATTCTGTTTAATAAATGAGGGCACTGAGCCCCAGAGATGGGAAAAGATAGCATCTGGGTGCAATGAAGAAAAATTGATTTTTTTTTTTTTTTTTTTTTTATCCTGGTTTATCTTTGTCATAGGACAAGTTGCCTAAGCTCACAGATTTGAAAATGTAGGATTGCATAAGCTACCATAACGGCTGCATTGTTCATAGAGAAGATAAGGCTCTGTCTTTACTTTTATTATGCTTCTTGTCCAAGATCATTTGAAAGAATCCTTGTCTTTTGCCTTGTGTAGGTAATCTGAACCTTTTTGTCTAACTAGTAATTTCACTGTGATGACATTTTTTTCAGTCTTGAAATTATTAAGTTATTAAATAATACTGGGCTGAAAGCTAAAACAAAACAGCACAACACAGTATTACTGACTTTGAACTCAAGGAAGCTTCTAAACTAATGAGACAGGACAACCACACAAAAGAATACATGACATACTTTGGGGACATGCTCTGACATATAAATCATTGTTTCCAGTGTAAAGAAATGAGGCAGTGGTTGTATATTAGGCTTGATTTCTAAACCTAGAAAGAGTCATTAGAGAGAAGAAGGATTAAAAGAGTGGGGAAGGAATAGGGTCTATAAAGAACAGGAGAAAAGTACAGGTTTTTGGGGCTAGGAATCAGAGTATTTTCTGCAGAGGATGCTAAAGTAAGGTTCCTTTGGCCCCTCAACACTCTGGAAATCTAGCCTTGGATTTCCATCTACTTTCTATACACTTCCAGTTGACTATCCTGTGGTCACCTCAAAAGAAATACATAAATATAAATATAATCCCTGTTACTCTGTATCTGCTAATTTTAGTACTTTTCTCCCAGGGTCCCTAACTAGAAATGTTAGGCTCTATCAAAAACAGCTGCAAACTGGTCAGATACTAGTGATGCTAGTGGTGCTATCTAGTGTCATAGGTGACGTGGGGTACTAGTAATTAAAATTATATCATCACAGTCATTTTTATAATGGATGTGCAATAAAGTATAGGTAAAAGGTGCTGGTCATCTCCTGTCTCTGTATTTAAAATAATTATATTGGGTGATGGAAGATGTGTAGGTCAGCAATTCCTTGTGGATTACTTAGCTGAAGGAGGTGAGAACATAACCTAATGTGGAAAGGGTCAGGGATGATGGGATGAAGGAGCTAAAATGAAAATAAATTCTTAGAAGGTTTGGTGAGAATCAGGAAAGGTGCTCACTTAACAATTAGAAGAACATTTAACCTTATTACCTGCATTTCCCAATATAAAATCTGAGCTTTCTATCAACCCTACTCAGAAAGCAGGAAAAAGTATTTAAACTTTTACATGTACTATTTTTTTGGAGGAGTTGATTTTTTTCACCCAGCATTTTATTATTTATATTTTCAAATGTACAAAAAAAGTTGAAAGATTGTACAGGAAATACACCATCTGGAGTCTATAATTAACTAAATACACTTTTTCAAGTGATAGGAAACTTTAGATTTGCTTTTTTATTGTTATTATTATTATTATTTTAAGACCTTGTTTTACATTCAATGTTATGTGTCCATTTAGTTTCACTCCCCATTTACCATGTCCAACCCTAACCCAGTCTCCTCCCCTCCCTATCCTGTAATCCTCCCCCTGTGCCCCTCATATTTATGCACTCCTGTTTGTCCTGCATTTCCTCAATTTGAATGTTGGTCTCTGGTGCCCTGTGGTCTATTGTTCTAAGGGATGTATTACCATAGAATATGTGGGTGTGTCATCCTGGGTTGAGTGGTCTGTGTGTACATCTATAACCATTGGGATGAAAGCCAGCCCCTAGGGGTGCATTTTATTTCAGGTGCAGAATGTATTCCAGGGCCATAGTATTGCAGGTCTCATCAGATTTCATCTGACCAGTAATTCTGGTCATTATTGAGTGTTTGGATTTTGTTCCACATTTTCCCTCACACTCTATCCAGGATCTCCAGATTTGATCCTTTCCTGAGTGGTTGGCAGTGGTAGCTGGGCACCATCTAGTTCTTCTGGTCTCGAGGGCCATCGTGTCCTGTGGCTGATTACTTCCAAATGTCCTTGTTTTTTTATTTTTTATTTTTTTGCTTTCTTCTTCCAACGCTAGGAGACTGTTAGCCGCATCTTAGATGGCCGCTTGAAAGTTTTAAGACTCAGTCGCTACTCACCAATGTAGGATGAGGAACAAGGCTTTTATGTATTTTGTTGTGCCAATTGAGTCTGGTGTCCCCCAGTACTATGGTCCTGAGATGGTAGAGCTATTGGATCTCTCTCCCATAGTGTCTGGTTGCCTGTGAGGGATTACTGTATGTCTGTCTTCTATTGTTTCTGTAAGATTACAGGTATTTTGTATCACTGGTGTCTGTGCAAGATTAGCCTGCACTGAATCAATCCTTGGTCTAGAGTATACTCCTGTTCACTGACCCCCATCTGATCCTCTCAGGTATTTATGTGTTTGTCTGTAGCTTGGTGTTTGGTGTTAATGGCAATGCAGTATTGTGGACACATTGGTTGGTATTAGCATCTATTGTCTATCTCTTATGTGCACAATTCATTGTCTTCCATTTCCTAATGTTATGGTGGTCACAGATCCTTTCCGTATATCTCTCCTCCTGTCCACTTTAGCTTGTGGGCCCCAACTAGGCTGAAATTAATCCCTTCCCTTCTCGCCCCTTACGAAGTGAGTTCCCTTTTGCAAGCAAACCCTTCTTTGTCTTTTTTCAGTAATGGGCTCATACAGTACTTGTCCTTCTACCCTTGACTTATTTCACTCAGCATAATGTCTCCAGGTTCATCCACATTGTGAGATGATTCACGTATTCCTCATTGTTCTTTAATGTAGTATAGTATTCTATTGTGTGCATGTACCATAATTTGGTTATCCACTCATCCGTTGATGGACATTTGTTTCCAATTCTTTGCTATTAATGAATTGTGCTGCGATGAACATAGGTGTACATATTGTCTGTCTGTGTGCTATCTCTCACCTCTTTAGGATA